AAAAACAAAGGTTTTGAAAATTGATTTTTCTTAATTATTAATTAAAATTTATTTTTAAAAAATATATTTTTCAAAAAATTATTTAAAAAAAAATATATTTTTTAAAAATATATATTTTTTTAAATTAATAGAACATATTAATTTAATTTGTCACCTCCGGTAAAACAAAGATGAAAGACTGATAAATTCCCTCACTTTATATTTTACAGTGGAGGGATAACTGTGAATGTCTTTGCGAGAGAGGAGCAGGTACTTATAGAGTCAGTGAAACAGGTCACAAGCGAGAAGGAATCACTAGCATGCACTCTGGCGGCGCTTGTCGGAACTGTTTTCTGGCGCGCATGCATATCCTGACATTATCGACACAGCGCTTGGCAACCAACGTTGGGCCACTTTCGACAAGCGCCGCCAGAGTGCATGCTAGTGATTCCTTCTCGCTTGTGACCTGTTTCACTGACTCTATAAGTACCTGCTCCTCTCTCGCAAAGACATTCACAGTTATCCCTCCACTGTAAAATATAAAGTGAGGGAATTTATCAGTCTTTTATCTTTGTTTTACCAGAGGTGACAAATTAAATTAATATGTTCTATTAATTTAAAAAATATATTTTTTTAAAATAAATTTTTGAAAAATATATTTTTTTTAAATATAAATTTTTGGAAAATAAATTTTAATTAATAATTAAAAAAAATAAATTTTCAAAACCTTGGTTTTTTGTTGGCTGCCAATAAAAAATCAAGCTTTTGAAAATCGATTTTGTCTCCTTGGCAATTCCTTGGCAACTAATATTGGCCCGATGCTTGGCTACCGATCATTGGCAGTAGCGTGATCATCCCAAGTTTAAACCATTGGTGGTCCAATGATGGTTGCCAATTGTTTTGCCAAGAAAAAACCATTGGGTACCAAGCATGGCCCATTATTGAACCAATCGTTAACATTGGCAACTTCCCGTTGGGCAGTAATAATTGGTCCGTAATTTTTCATTTTTGGTCTGCAAAGTCTGTAGTTTTAAATGCTTTCACTGGTTCGAACCCTGAATTTCATGTAAAAACCAAAAAAACTTTAGAAAGAGAATCTACGAACACTACTATACTAACAGATTCATAAAGAAGGTCAGATAGTTCTTTAAAAACATTGTAAATACCTTAACTATAATTTCAATTTCATATGGTAAACGGCCATAAGCAATGGTGGTTTAGTTGTTGGCCAATGTTTCAAAGTATGGTTTAGAGTTTGTTTACTTTGGCTATATAGTTAGCTAGAATTTGACAGTTTTCCGTTTCCACGCTGGAAACAATATAACATTCGGATTAACTGTAAAATGTTGTAAGTGAATAAGTGGACAAATGGTGTTTGAATAATAATGGAATCTTTTAAGAGAGGTGACTTTAAACTGGATCGTTGCAAAGATACCTAAAGAAGTTTAAAAGCTATTTGAAAGTTGCGGGTGGTGAGAAGTGGTTCGAAGTTTCTTGGTTGTTTTCACTTCTGGAAGACTACTTGGTATTCGCGACGGTCTCAGAGGGAGTATGAGATCGAGCATGAACGGTAGGTGGCAGAAAGGGGGGGTTCGAGGGTGACGATACAGGGATGAGAGAGGATACAGGTTTCCCGGGGGCGGTTGATGAGGTATTGATGATAGGATTGCGTCAACACCAGCTGAGCCAATTACACGCCTAAATCTCTCTTCTCACTCACACTCTCTCTCTCTCTCTCACTTCTCAGTTTTCGTAGAAAACTGATCATCATTATTTTTCTCCATTCTTTACAGACTGCTGAAGAAGAATAAATCGGACATATTTTATGTTCATGACAAATTGCTGTCTATTTGTGTATTTAAAATTTTGAATTTCTTTGTGAAATAGCACAAATAAATTTTGTTGACGCTGCAGAACTTAGGGGCTTAAAATTGGAGAACTTAAGTCTTAAAATTCTACTCCATTTTAGGCAGAATTTTAAGACAACCTATGCCCAAACTTTTGATAAAGCTAAAGTCATAAATGCAACTACAACACCTCAAAAAAATCGGTTGTTTACACACGACATGGAATGACATTTTTTAAAAATAAGATTTTTGAATTCCTAAGGTTAACGCTAGAAAACTTACTTTTCCTAACATTTAAATATTAAAGAAATTGTTGTTTTAAAAAGTTGTTTAAATGAATGTTTATCGGAGTTTCGTCCGAGTATTGAAAGGTGCATTTCAAGGCAATCTTTCCTAGTCGATTGTTGGTTACTTTATAGAGTTGACGTAGAATATCTTGCAGAGAGTTTGAAAAGAAAGCAATCGGTGAGTCGTAAAGGAACAGGTATATATACACATAAGATATAATATACAATGTGTGCCTTATAGTGATTCGGAGTCTGCAACTGCCTACGCAAAGCGTTAGTGAAACTCTAATCCTGTTGCGGTGTCATTAGCTATGTCCTGTTGGCAGTTGAAAATGAGAATCGACTCTGAAAAAACTCATCCTCGCCTACCGTTTCAACCCACACTGCTGTACCTCGCGTATACGCTAATAATAATGCCTTTCTTTTCTGTTTCAGGTAAGTGACCTGTCTTCCTTTGCTAGTAGCCTTTTCACTTCAAGGTAGCAAAATATATCATCAGAACATTTATATTCGTCGCTTCCTTCATGTGCAGTGAGTAATTGCATAATTTACTGTCTAGAAATATTCATTTTTCAGAACGTCACTTTCTAAATTTCCTCTTGTACGATGTCATTTTTTTTGTGTACATCACTTTAGAAAAAGTACCTACAGTTTATTTTTAGAATTTTTTCACAGTTCAAACTTAAATAAGGAAATTAAATATATAAGACGTTCTGATTATAATGTAACCCATTAGGTTACATCAGAAAAAAATACTTTGGTGAGTTTGTCCGTAAACTTCTGATTCAAGAATTTCGGTTGCTCTAGTAACTGAATTCGGCAGTGTAATAATTTTTAAATAGACTAATTTTCATTTATTTTAACAAATAATTAAATGTTCGAATGTTCATTTAAGCAAAAATTGTACCAATTATATCTATAAACAAAATTGAAAGTAAACTCACTTAAGAAACAAAATTTAGCCAAATGAGAATTCTTACATTTGGAGATACGATGGAATAAATATTCAAACGTTTGACTATGATATTAGTTCACTTATTAGTTTCTTGATATTAATATTCGAACTCTTGGCTTTTCGATTAAATAAACCTAAAGGAACTTTTAATTTTTCAATAAAATGGTGTTTAAAAGTATAAAATTTTTGATTAAACTAACATTCAAAATTTTGGAAATTAGTTTTATTAAATATTTGTTCAAATAAAAATTCTAACTTTGAGATTTTCATTTAATTAACATTCGAATTTTTGAAAAGTCTTCCAAGTAAGTGTTCGATTTAAGTAATGAAATTGAAGTTACCGACGTTGATTCAACGAAAAACTTAAAAAAAAATTTTCCTTGTATATTTTTAACCCAAGTAAACCCTCTAAACCCTAAAATAAAAAAACGTGGGAAAAGCAGTGATTTTTATTCTATTTTTTGAATTTTTGCCAAAAATCACGAAATTTTAATTAAATTCATAATTCCTCGCCTCGGTAGTCATTTTTTTCTTTTGATAATTGTTAATTTTAACATTAGACTTGAAACTACTTGGAATTTTTTTTAAATGGCACACGACATTAGAATAAACAATTATCAAAAGAAAAAAATGACTACCGAGGCGAGGAATTATTAATTTACTTAAGATTTCGTGATTTTTGGAAAAAATTCGCCAAAAAAAAATAAAAATCACAGCTTTCCCCGACTTGGAATCACTTGAGATTTTTTTTAAATAACGTCTAATATTAAAATAAACAATTATCAAAAGAAAAAAATGACTACCGAAGCGAGGAATCATTGATTAATTTGCAATTTCGTGATTTTTGGAAAATTCGTGACAGAAAAACCAAAATCACTGCTTTCCCCGACTTGGAACTACTTGGAATTTTTTTTAAATGGCACTCGACATTAGAATAAACAATTATTAAAAGAAAAAAATTACTACTGAGGCGAGGAATTATGAATTTAATTGAAATTTCGTGATTTTTGGAAAAAATTTGCCGAAAAAAAATAAAAATCACTTTTTTCCCACGTTTTTTTTATTTTAGGGTTTGGAGAGTTTACTTGGGTTAAAAATATACAAGAAAAATTTATATCCTGAGAAAATTTTTTTTTAAGTTTTTCGTTAAAACAACGTTGGTAACTTCAGATTCATTTTAAGTATTCGTTTGAATAATAATAATAATTTCATGAACGGAACCAAAATTCGTTATTCGTTGAAATGAAGATTCGAACTGTTGAAAATTCAATTAAATAAACTTTTGGACATTCAAACTTTTAGAAATTCAATCTAATGAATATTCGAACATTTAGGTATTGATTTCAATAATAATAGTTTTATTACATTTTTCTAATTTGATATTTGTTTATTAAACTAAAATTCCAATTTTTAAAAAATCGCTACTCCTGATTTAAAAAAATAAAAATAAGATTAAATGTAAATTGTAGTTTGTCATCTTTCTAATTTTAATATTAAATTCAAAATGAGATTTTGTTTTGCACGACGTTAGACAATTGCAACGGAAAAATTCTTGGCATGTTGTATTAGATTGCTGCGTAGAGATTGATCGCAAGAACAGTGTTTCAGTTTGTGAAAGTTCTTCTTCTTCTTCTTGAATAAAAGTGTTTTTGCATATTTCAAACTCGGACCTGTAAATTAAATTATTTTTAGTTTTGATTCTGCAAGATGCGATAAGAAGGTATATTAAAAACTTCATACCTGCAATATAATCTATTTGCATGAACTCTTCTAAAAGATTTGATAGCAACTGATATTGTTCCTCCTGACCTACCTCCTTCTCACTGCTAAATTCATCCTGTGAAAAAAAATTTTAATTTAAAATGTATGTAAATATTTAATGCTTATTTATAAAATATTAAAAAATTGAGTGAAATGAACGTAAAGAACGTTCACGTGGTCGTGGGCCTGTTCACGGAAAAAAGAGTTTGGCCATAAGAAACAAAACTACGGTTACGTCAACTGAACTGGTAGGTTGACTATGGACTGACCGAATGCACAGTTTACAGTAACCGAACTCACTTGGTTAGTAGAGTTCGGTTCCTTTAAACAGTATGTTGGGTTAGCAGTATTGTGTGTCGTTAGATTATACCAACCAAACGGTTTGTTTAAAGAAACCAAAATTCTTGAATATTATTTGAGGGGTGGGGGGTGATAATTAAGAGTGGTTTATGAATAAAATTAAAAATTGTTAAAATTTAAAATGATAATTTATTACAACTTTTTAAATATACTTTCAAATGTGAAAGTCAACAATTTATATTCTTTCTGAACTTACATTTCTAAATCTCTTTATTTATAAATTACATATATTACTCAAACTAAACACCGAAGACCAACATATTTTTTACCATTGCTTAATACTACTTTTATTGCGGGAAATGGACTTAACAAGTTATTAATTAAACAACACTGCCACTGCAAATCGTATTCTATTTCATAAGCTCCCATATTTGAGTCAAAACCAAGATTTGATAATTTTAAACAAATGAAACATACTTCATTTGCATTGGAATTAAATAAAATTTTCTTAATAATTCCAAATGTTGGTAGGATACCATTATCGCATAAATCTAAAATTATACACATTTCTTCTCTATACGTTATACCATTAAATGTAACCCACTTTACACTTACGCACGCATTATTTATGAAAGAGCCAGGTAAAGTATTTGAAAAATATTGATAACCTTCTAATAACATTATATTGTAAAGAATTTGACAGCGCCCAGACATAAGATCGGTTTTTAAACCTTCTTCAGATAGAAATCGGTAACATAATTGTAATTGTTGTTTAAGAGCAAGTGTATGTGTTACATTTTTTCTTGATCTTGTAGCCGATGCACTGTCTTTAACTTCTTTGTGCTTCCCTTCATTACGTATAGTACTAAGAAAAGAGAGTGGTCCAGATTCAATTAAAATTTTAAAGTAATGATTTAAAATATGCATTTTTGGTTTTAGTGAACCAAATTGCTTTTGATAAAGGTAATTATGTTCTTTTATCAATTCTTGAAATTGTAGCACACGATTTCTTGGAAAAATTCTGCAAGATATAAATTCAATTAATCGACGCAATACAAGATAATATTTCCAAACATCATTGTCGAAAGGTACATAATCACCAACTAAAAAATGAAAACATAAAACGAATGTTCTCATTTCGTTGCCAGACATACGAAATTGAAGATTTTTTAAATTGTCTACTGTTATAATGCAGGGTTTATTTGAGAATCCGTTTACTTGATAGTTAAATCCTAATATTCGCTCATTTAAAAAATCAAGATCGAAAATTTTTTGCTTTAAAATAAAATACTGACATATAAGCGGCATTGCATAAGAACTGATTCCTTCATCAAAATCGTGTAGGGTACAAACAGCAAAATTCTTATAAGGATGAAAGTGATCTACATCAAGCCAAATGGATTTTTCTTTAACACCAGAAACGTCAAAACCATTATTAATATCTCTTTCATAATCTACTGGATTTCTTAAAAAATTACATTGCTCAGAAATATCTTTTGCACAATTACTTTTATGTCTTGTACAAAAGCGACAAAAATAATTGGCACTGAAGCTTCCAGAAAACCCTAATACTTCATTTAACCCTTTATTATCTCCCAAAATTAAACCAAGAAGAAAATATACTCGTTGAATACCGGATGCAGTATTAATTAATATCCCTTCTCGTGCAAGAAAATTCAACTCTTCTACAATAATTTTAAAGATATGGTAATTCCCATTTGGTAATTGTCTGTCTCGTGAATAATATAAACCAATTAAAAAAATGTTTTCCAATCGAGAATAAAATTCTGGGGGTAAGAATGGCATTGAAAGATATACTGATCCAACTTCACTAACTCCTGTGTGCGATCCTAAGGGATTATTAATTTCAAAATCATCTATGCCTAAAAATATAGGCAGAACTATTTTATTTTCTAATTCATAAATAGCCGATTTTTCTTTCCATAAATTTCCCTGAATAAAATTGCATATCTCTGTTTCTGAGCGTTTTAATTCGTTCATATATTTTGAAATTATTTCAAAATTTCCCGGAAGTTCTAGAAATTTTTTCAAGATTAATCGCATAGGAATATGTTTTGCAATGCAATCTACTGATTCTCGAACAATTCTACCATTTTTAAATTTATATTCAATTCTTTCTCCTACTTTATAATCAACTGCAGAAATAAGATGACCGGATTTCTCAAAATATTTTAGTCTTAAGTACTCTGAAGAAAGAGAAGAGAATGGATTATCAAATTCATCTATTAATTTATGTATTTCATTTTTTTCGTTTTCTTGAAGAGTTGAATTGTTTAACACTATTTCGCATTTCTTTCGAAATTGTTGAAGAGAACTACTCATAAAATCACCAACATTATCAACCATTAATTGTACCAGACTTCGAGGAAAAGATGGTCGACTATAAAATTTCGCTAACAACTTAGAAGCTTCATGTGTCAAAAATTGAGGAAATAACTGTTGATTTTCATTCTCAACTGGATCATTAACTATATCAATTTCATTGTCAATGGGTTCTGGTTGCTCATGATTGACATTTTGAATATCATTAACAGGGAGTTCTATTCCAATAGGTTCATTATTTTCTATTTGAAGATTATTGACAAAATTATTACAAAATTTGTGATAACACTTGTAGTGTTTTCGGATTCTAGACCATGAAGAAAAGGTTTTTTTAAATAAACAATCAGGTTCAGCACACATAAATGATGATGCAGTGGACATGTTATGGGTTATTTTATAATGTATCCATAAAGCTTGAATGGATGGAAAGAAAGATCCAACGTTACATTGAAAACAATTAGGCATTTTATTTTTAGTTTAATCAACACACTTTAAATCTTTAATCAAGGAAGTTAAACTATGCATATGCTTACTATTATCCCACTTTGTTTTTATACCGTATACACATATTTGAAGAAGTAACCAAAGAGGTTCGGCATGCTTGGGATATTGAGCATGAATCGCTTGAAAAATCTTAAATGTAACGTCGATGGCTTTTACAGGGGAATCTACGTTATATAAGAGGTTGTCTACTGAGATATAACAGTCAGTTATATTGTGTAAATCTTCTCCTACAATCACGGCAAAAGGCTGAGTTGTCTCTTTTCTTGCTGTTGCTCTGTCTCTTACTCTCTTAATGGCCGATTTTATGTCACTAGCACTCTATAAAAAAGAAATATGTATTTTAAAATGTAATTTAAACACTATTGATAATTAAATAATTTAATTACTTACAATCACATGTATCAAAAATCCTTCTTGAATGACTTCTCTTGTGGGTTTCCAGCTTTCATCACCATCATTAATTAATTTTGGTTTAACTAGCATACACAATTTCATTAGTAATTGAGCATCGCTTATTTCATCTACAAATTATAAAAATAACAAATTAGTTAAAATTGCATCTTTATTAATGTAAAAGTTAGTTTAAAATTTAACTAACCATTACTGCTTGATTTAAACAAATTGCTGTTATCACGTTGAAATACCGAGAGAAGTTTGCTTTTAAAAGATGGCCATAAAAACAATAAGTTTTCTTCAGTTCCTGGGTACAACATAGAGTAATCCAATTCAAGCTGTCAAAAGAATTACAAATTATTTACATGAAATAGAAAAAGAGAAAACAATCCTTTAATTATCAGTAAAAGCGATAAGCTTATTCTAAATATCTTTGAAAATTTGAAAATCAATTGCCACTCACCAAAGTGTAACCTAAAGCCTCCTTTATTCCTCTATACTTTGTAATATAGAATGTAACTTTATTAGAAATTGTAGTCTTCTCTTTTCCTCCTTTCGTTTTTGAAGTTACAGTTGCAGTTGAACGAATTTCCGTCATTCGATAATCGTGAGTGTCTCGCCACTTTTCAATGCAATCTTGCCATGGTATGCATGTTATTGAAAGAGAATTAATTTTATTTAAAGTATCTGCATCTGGAGTAACGGCATTAGTCAGAGCATCATTATCAGTAGATTTTTGACTTGAGTTTTTTCTGGAAGATTGAATCCCAGAACGAACAGCTCTTTTTCTTATATTATAGAACAAGTCCACTAGTTTTCCAGAAGCACTATACTTTTTCCCAGCTTCATTTTTATAATACGGTATATAGTATGTTTCCTGAAATCAAAAAATGTTGATAAGACGAGATTTTTATGTCATTAAATATGGATGTAATAAAGAATACTATAATATATATACCTTATTTTCAGAAGGAAAAAGCAATTCGATGCCCTCAGAAAGTTTCAAAAATTGTTCTCGATGTATCCTGTAAAAAAGAAATAGAGTTATATGGACGTAATATTTGTTACTTTTTAAATAATTTTTTACATACTGTTTCCAAATATCTCCTTTGAATTCCTGTGAAAGAACACACTCTGCAACAATTTGCTGTGTTCTTGACCTTAAGAATCCTTTCGATTCATACTCCGCAATTGCCAAATTCCCACGAATGTTATTAATAAGACATTCGTAGATTGGACCCTACAACAAAATAAAAAATGTTTACTACATGTTCATAAAACAATAACATAAACAACGATAGGACAATAACAACATTAATCTGAACAAAAAAATTATTACCTCTTTAATAATAGAATGATGAGTAGAATCGGAACTAACTTTTCTTCTTTTTTCAGGAACAACCGTTGTTACATTTGCAGAACGTTTTTCCGCTTTCAAAGTATTTTGCACTTCCTCTTCTAATGTAAAATCTTCCAATTCGTTTCTTTCCGAATTTGAATCTTGAGGGTTGTATACTTCTTCTAATTGTCCATCAGGACCAATCTCATAGGTTCCTTCAATATCACTTTTTAATTGTAATGCATTATTGACCTTTAATCATTTGAAAAATAAATTTAGAAAACAGTAATGATTTATTTATCTTCATCTTTAAATATTTTACAATAATTTTTTTTATTAAATTAAGTAGTGTACATACAGGTGTTGAAGCCGGTTCATTATTTTCTTTATCGTGAATCCAATTATTGTATAACCTTATAAATTTAGAGTAAGGTCCCACTTTAGGAAATAAGTCAGAAATTTTTTCCTTTTCCAAAAATGGGAAAGATTCATCATCGATTTCTTCATCTAATTAAAAAACGCTTATTAAAAATTGTAATATTGTAATAGCACAGTAATATATTTTACATGAATTTAATTAGAAATTTTAATGAACTTAGATTTTTGAAAAATTTAAATAATTTAAATTCTTCTAAAATCAGTTAAAATAATTAAATTTTGAAAAGGTTTCAAATTAAAATCTTTAAAAATCTGAATTTTACATGTTTTTAACTAACAATTCTGTTAATTAATATTTTTTGGTAAATTTTAATTGCGGATTTTTTTTGAAATTATTTAAAGTTTTTATTTTGTAATATATACTTAATTGAAGAATTTACGAATAGTTAAAATTGTGTAAAATTAAATTGTAAACAAATGAATTTGAAAATTTTCAAAGAACTTTTTCAAAAATTATAAAAATAATGCATTTAAGGAAGAATTTTAGTTAAAAACATAAAAAAAAATTAATTTGGGAAATTTTACAAATTATTGCAGAAATTCAATTATTTGTTAAGAGTAATTAAGAGTAATAATTTTCTTCACGAATGATTTTTACTATCTATTTTAGTAAAATTTTTCAAAAGAATTTAATTATTTAAAATTTTTTTTGATAAAATGCTACGTAAACATTTAATTATTTTCATAAAGAAAAAAAAATTTCACATACTGTCAACTGGGGCTATTTTGTGCATCCGGGGGCTATTTTGTGCACGCGAGTTTTTTAATGAAAAAAATTATTAAAATGAATTATTTTAATCTGCTATTTTGTAAAATGAAAGTTTGATTACATAACAATAGAGAGCACTAAATGTTATTATTTAATTCTTTGGCAATTAAGAGTAAAAAAATCCTAAAAACGGAAAATTTGTTTAAAAAATTTTGAAAGTTCGGAAAAATTATACCAGATCTTCTAGAGTTTTAATGTGTCTCATAAACTGTGTTAGATATTTGTTGTCAATTGTGTTGTGATGATACATACGTAATGCGCTAACTTTTTATTCATTATTTTAAGAGAAAAGTGGAAAAAACTGAAAAACCAGGATTCCATGGGGCTATTTTGTGCACTTAAAAAAATAAAATATTTTTCATAAATATTTTATTTAGTAAGTAAAGAAGATTCTGTTTATCATTTTTATACATTTTTGTCTTACTTTTCTGTCAAAAAACTGTAAATACGTTAATTAAAATCATTAAAACGATTAAAAGCTCTACCGGTGCACAACGTAACCTCAAAAAATGAACTTTAATTAATATTTATAAGTTTTTCAAATTAGTTTTAAAACTATTTTCTCGTTTCTCTTAAAATAACTTGAAAATCATATTAGATATTAAATTGTTATCTATTTAGCCTTAAAAATATTTATTTCAAGTTTTTTAAAAATATCATTCAAAACCATTAAAAAAGCTCCTATTGAAATGATGTTTTAAAGTTATTTATAAGTGTTTAAACGATCATTTTATAATTATATTAGTATATTATTATAAAATATATATTAAAAGAAAAAAATTTTATTTACTATCTGCGTAATATACAATTTAAAGAAAGATTGTTAATTTTTAGTAAATCCAGATTTTAGCAAAATTTTAGTGCTTTACATTTTTTGTATAATATATCTACAAAAAAAATTTTACTAGGTCATTCTTTTTTTAATTTACTCTCAAATATATACACAAAAGATTTCATGAAGCAGAAACGATTAAAAAAATTGTTTATGCAACATTATAGAAAAACAAAGTTCGATGCACAAAATAGCCCCATCCCGGGAGTTATTGTGTTCACGACTTTCAATGACTATAACTAAGACAAAAAAATTTTATTCTTTGCAAAATTTATAGGAAACCTTCAGAAGGATGTCCACAACATATATCAAAAGTTGATTTTCTTTATTCTCTTAATTCTGAATTTAAATAAATCTTTGAATAAAAAAAAAGCTATTTGGTGCACAAAATAGCCCCGGTTGACGGTAATTAAAAATAAAAATTAAATTAAAAAAATTAATTAAAAATTAAATTAAATTAAACAAAAATTAATTAATTAATTAATTTTTAATTAAATTTCACAGAATTTCAATTATTTACAAATTTTTATAAATTTTATAAATTTTTTTATTATATACAGGGATTATATTATTTATAAAATTTTAATAAAATTATTCACAATAATTCAGTTGAGGGGTTGGATGCTATAATGTGTTACGCGCCATTCACTTACCATGGCGCGTAACACATTATAGCATCCAACTCTTCAATTATATTCATAAATAATAATATATTTTACAGAGATTCAATTATTTTTATAAATAATAAAACTCATCGCGGAAATTATTTATATTATTATTATTAAAATTCGTCGAAAGAATTCAATTATTTAAAAAATTGTTGATGAAATTCTTTAAGGGAATTGAATTTTAAGAAACATTCAATTATTCAATAAATTATTTATTTTTGTTTTTAAGTAATTGAATTCTAGTAAAACTTTCTAATAAAAAATAAATTAAAACTGAATTTTAGTTAAAGATTTTAGATAATAATTAAATATTAAAAGCATGAATTTTTAGAAATAATTGAATTTAAAATTAATTCTTGTGAAAAACTTTAATTCTTTTATTCTTAAAAATAATAATTGAATTGGTATTGATTTTATAATCTCAGTCATCTTTAATTATTATAGAACATGAAGAAACGATTACTCCGAGTCTTCGACTTATAGTTATTGATATCTTCATGTTTTATAGTTATTAAAAATTTAATTTGTAATTTTAAGTTAAAATGTTCTTTTATTTGACTCGGACTGGTTATATTCTTGTCGGTAATTGATCCGTAAATGGTCCGTAATTTTTTATTTTTGGTCCGTAATTAAATTAATTAAAAAATTTTCAAATAATCGAAATTCCATAAAATTGAATTATAAACACATGGATGTGACAATTCTTAAAGAACTTTTTTAAAATTAATTTAATTAAAGAAGAATTTTAGTTAAAAATAATAAAAAGTATTAATTGAATTGAAATGATAAAAATAATTTTGAAGAAGTAATTCTAACAATATTTTTATAATAATTATAAAATAGTGATTTATTTATTTTAATTAATTGAGAAGCCCAAAAGAAGAACTCGCTAAGCGCGCGAACGCACGCGCTAATACCAGTCAGGTAGCAGTGGTAGGCGCAGAGGCGCTCACTGCTCCCAGACTGACATTAAAGCGTTCGTCCGCGCGCTCGACTCTAATTCTAATTTACAATAAGACTTTCTTTTTATTGGGACAAACCTTTGTACACTACTTGCATTAAACATTATACTAATATCCCAGTATACTAATTGTATTTTATTGAAAAAAGCTTTTTACTTATTAAAGCTTCTTTCTGATAAAGAAGAAAATGTGAAATTTAACTTTTTGTTTATAAATTTGTTGAAAAAATCTCTTACCTTCAAATTTTTCAATGTATTTTTCCAAACCCCATTCACAAAGCAAAAGTTTGTAACTCATTATTACAGTTGAATATAATAAATTTATTTAATAGTATATAAGAATATTAAATATTATATTATTTATATTCTTTTATTTCCAATATAAAAAATGCAATATCAAATTAATCCAGAAATTGCACTTCACAAATTCACAAACTCACAACACTTTCCACTTTTAAGAACAAGATTACTGTAAGAGTAAATCCTGAAGACTGAAAATGCTTTTGTCCTATAGCCGAAAATCAGAAAAAGACTTGACAACGTTGAAAAAGGAAAGCATTTGACAACATTGCATTTTCATTTTTCCATATTTAAAAAAATTCAAAGATCTAAAAACCCTTGCAAAAAAAAATTCTGAAATTTGAACTACGCTCGGTCAACCGGTCCCAAGCGCGTTAAATACAGCGCTGAAATTGCTTCCAGATGTCAACGGTCCCATGTTAACCAGCCCAAAAAGTATCATAAAAGTTTAACCATTGTTACTATCCAAAAACGTGACACACAATGAGGGAAAAAGATTATAGTTATAAAAAAATATAAATTAAATTTTTTTGTTTATTACTGTATATAAAAATAAATAGATATATTTATTTTTTTAAATTATATATTATAAATATACATACATATGTAGGTATATATTCATAAAATGTAATACTGTTTTATCAGTTTTTAATTCAAAATTCTTTGTTACCAAAGCTTCAAAACCTTTCAGGCTATACACATACGTATATACGCTTGTTAAAGTTAGTGAAATATTTACCATTTTTTATATATTGAGAGTACATTTTAATTCATTTTATCCTTAAAAATAAAAATAATAGTAATAACAATTTTATTGGTTTAAATATAGGTATTCTATTCTTGAATTTATAAAATAGTTCTAAGTTCAAATTGCTTAAAAAATAAATTGTTGAAAAATTTTCTAAGTTCAAATTGCTTAAAGAATAAATTGTGGAAAATTTTCTAAGTACAAATTGCTTAAAGAATAAATTGTGAAAAAATTTTCTAAGTTCAAATTGCTTAAAGAATAAATTGTGGAAAAATTTTCTAAGTTCAAATTGCTTAAAGAATAAATTGTGGAAAAATTTTCTAAGTTCCACTTCTTAAGTAGTGGGGATAGAAGAAACTGCTTTGCTAGTAACAGTTTGGTGGTCATAAACGAACATTTGGTTCCAATAGTCACACTAATATAACCATTCAAGTTCCGTCCTAAAAACTAAATCTCTTGGGTTAACACAACTATTCACTTGTTTCAAACAACCTCCATTCAGTCAACCAAACTCAGTCTGGTTATAATAGGCTAACCATTTTTTTCCGTGTTCAAACCTGCAACCACGTGTTTCTTTACATTCATTAAAATTAATTTTATTAAAATATTAATTTTATTATTATTAAATAATTAATAGTTTACTTAAAATTATATTTACTAATAAATTGTTATCCATTTGAAAAAAAAGCAGGACGCTACCAAGTCCTCTGTCTTTAAAAATTGGAACGCAACGAACCGCTTCACACCGTGCGGATTTTTACAGATTGACGATGTACAATGGCAAGTGAGTCTTCTACGAATGAAGCTGAAGCTTGAGTTTCATCTTCACATGAACCTAGTACATTTTTTAGATCATCCTCTGTGTGAATATTTTTATAGGAAGTTTAGAACTACAATAGCCTACTTTCGGATAAAACCCAGACATAGTTTTATAGGGTGATTGTTTTATAGCTGAATACAAATATCTGTTCTTTATGAATTGGATAAATTTTAAGCCATCAGCCCTATTACTTTTCATCCTTTGGCTCTGGCTATGTCTGGGTTTTCCATGAACGATTTTCAATTCTGGCCATAAAGATGCTAACTCTGTAACTATGCTTGCCCGGTTTGTACCTATATTTAAAAGAAATTAATTTTAGTGTACCTACTGTTATATCTGTAAAGTGTGCAGTGTCACTCGGACAGTGTTTTTCTTAAATGGGTTGATTTGGTTAGTGAAGCCGCTCGTTTTTAGTGAAAAGTTTTATCAAGCTCGATCACTGGTTTTGACGAGGTTTTGAAAAAAAAAGTGAGTGGAAAAAAATGCAGTCAAATTGGTGGTGCCGAACAAACTCAACGGATAGAAAAAAGTATCGATTTGCGACAGGGGAAAATAGAGAGTTTACTGTAATAATATATCGATCATATGGCGATGATGAAGAGAGTGAGGCGAGGAGGAGCTGAAAGCTGGACCCCGAGTTGAGAACTGGAACTGGACTATTATATGTATATATAGGTACAGAGAGAGAGAGTGTTAAACATACTAGCAGCATATGGTCATTCTCACTTTCCCGTCTCTCTTTCTCTGTGTCGAGCCTCCCCCAATGCTGCGATAACCTCGCTAATACCAAGCTGGCTGATTGTGCAGTGTACACACATATCTCTATATTGTCCAGTTTCAAATTTTGATGATACTATACATGGGTTCGGATTCATACATCAGTGATATTTATTTACGTCCCTATGTATCTGCTTACCCTCGATCTACACAATAGTTTTGCTCTTTTGCTAAAATTTGGAATTTTTCGGACTCTTCTGAAAAGAATAATGAGTGTAAAGCGAAGACCACGGAAGACCTTATTTACAAGACGCGAAATGTGTGTGGATGGATTGCGGTTGGACATAAACTGCAGGGTGGTGGAAATCCCTCGGGTGAAGAGGGACAAATCGAGTAGATCGAAGGAAGCCCCAACCTTTATCACCCGGCAGCTCCTTCACCTTTTTCCTTGAGAACCGGTAGGTTTTTCCTTCACAGCAACTTGAGAGCAGAGGGATAAAAACGTAAAACAAAAAGCCGATTATGTAACTGAGGGATGAAATACGAGAGTGGCAAAGTGTGCCCCGGAGCAGACACAATAGGGTAATTTTCACGCGAGATTTGGGAGGCGATCTCGCGAGAGAAAAAGCATCCCGCAGCTTCTTCTTTTCCTCAGTCCTCCCTCCTTCCAGCCTCCAGTGAGATACGAGCGGCGGCTGGCTGTTTCAATGTAGCGACACGTTTGTTATTTCCTACCAGTTTGTTATTCAGAACCCGCAGTGGTCCTCATACTACGGACAAATGCCCTCTGCTAGCTTCCTCTCATAAACAATTTTCGCCATTATATGATGTATATATATACATTCATGTGGTGTTCTCTCTCCAACTCAATACACGTACAATGTTTGCAGACCCACCACCATTTTTGCTTACAGTCTTTAATTTTATTCTGTGAAACCAAATAAAGCAGACATTTGTTTTACTGTATAGGCTTCTTTCATGATTCTAAACAATCAATTCAATGATAGGGATAAAAATATCAATAAGATATTATCACTCATAATTTTCATTTTAAATTCGACAAAATCTTCCAAAGTTTCATCAACAGCTTAATGAATAAAATATACTTTCATTGCTTAAAAGATTTTCAACGTAATTTTTGATCACCCCCTGTGTATAAAAATTTCAACTTTCTTTCATGTTTTCTATCGTATATAGAAAATCCTCGTTCATTTTTCTTGCTCGAGTAACTTTCGACTGTTGTCTGGTGAAGTAAATCGTATAAAAAGTGTCCAGTAATCTCTTGGCTTGAAATATTGTGGAAATAAGAGGAAACAACAATGTATTAGAAAGACAATCACGTGTCATATTGACAAACTTTGTCGTTGAAACGAGCGACGATTCGGGCCTGTACGATGTCACATTAATTTACAATTTGTATAGCAAACTCGGTTTGATATCTGTCAGGAGGAGCGATGATATCTGCCATATGCTACTAATCGTCAAATCTGAATCTCTTATCGGTATGAAGGGTCTTTTCCACATACAATAACCACGACGAGCATCACAAACAAATATTACATTCTACTCGAGGTTTATTATTTTTAATCATATAGATCCACACATGTGTCCAGCTATTTCGCAACTAATCCAGTTATTTCACGCTAATATCTAAACTTCAAATAAATTTCTGAATTCTTTAAAAATGTTTTCAATATTTTTTTCAAAGTTCAGTTCTTTTAGAATAAAAATTTTATTCGAACCGTTTTTATTCGAACGGAATGTTTTATTTTTAAATCTTCACTATTTACTACTTTTTTTTACGTTATGCTACTATTATAGGGTACTTTTTTTTGAGAATTTCCACTACTTTAAATTCGCTAATACTAGAAATCAAAAAACTATTCTCCAAAATTATAATCAAATTCTTTAAAAAGATTCAATTATTTTCAAAAATATTCGAAATTCAATTATTTTCAATATCTAGTATTTTCTTCAAATTTCGCAAAAGAATTCAATTATTTTTAAAAAATTGATAAAATTCATCCAAAATTCAATTATTTTAATAAACAATAAAATCTCCACAGGAATTCAATAAATTCAGAATAGCATTTTCAAAATAATTTCAAGTCTTCACAATAATTCAATTACTTTTACTGATAATAACTTTTTTCATGGGAATTCAATTTTTTAAAAAAAAATTTGATAACATTCTAATTTCTAAGCAAAATTTCAATTATTTTTATGAGTAATAAAACTCATTAAAGAATTTAAATTATTTTAAATACTATTTTCAATTAATTATTCGGAAATTTCAATTATTTACAAAAATATTACAATTTTTCAAAGAAATTCAATTATTTTCAAATATTTTATTAAAATTTTTCGAAAGAAATCAATTATTTTAAATAAAATTTTAATTCAATTTTATTGAAATAAATCAATTATTCTTTTAGATTTTAATAAAATTCTTCCTAAGAATTCAATTATTTACATAAATAATTCTTCGAAAGAATTTAATTCTGTCGATAAATTACAAAATTATTCCCGAAAATTTAATTATTTTGATGCATTTTAATAAAATTCTTTCCAAACTTCAATTATTTTTAGGAATTCAATTATTTTCAGAAAAATTTAATAAAATACCACACAGACATTCAATTACCTATTTGCAAAAATTTCAATTATTTTAAGAAATTCTAAAAAAATTGTTCGCAAGAATTCAATTATTTTCATAAATGTGACGC